CAGAATGGTGCCTGGAACATAGTACGTACTCAATAACTGTGGTTGAATGAATGAATGAAGCCACAGAATCAAATTTCCCTGGGTCCTACGCTACTTCTGGACTTCTTGTAATGGAAGCCAAGTGTCCATATTGTTAAATCAGACTGAGTTGGGTTTTCTGTTTTCTCACACTTTTAGTGGATGTCAGCCTAACTGACGCCCACGTGTTATCTTGTTTAATCCTCACACCAACTCTGAGAGTTTTATTCTTCTGGTTTCCAGATGGAAAAGGTAAGTCCCAAAGAGATTAAGTTACATGCTAGAGGTCACACAGCTAGTCAGTCGCAGAATCCAGATTCCCAGCCCATCTGACTGATGCCAAAGCCATGAAAACAGCTGCACTTCAAGAAGACTGGCCCTCCCCAGAAACACCACCAGGGCTGAGCTGAGCCAGGATCCACAGGAATGGAAGGTCTGGAGGCTGCCAGGGATCTCCACAAAAGAAACACTTACTTTGTTAAGATCCTCAAGTATCAGATGACAAAATAATCATTGCATTCCCTGGTTTGTTTCATCTTGTTTGTTTCCCACATTTCACAATTTGTCTTATTGTTGCTTGCATGCTTATTGTCTATCTCTCCCCTTAGCTCTCTATTCTGTGTATCCTCACACCTAGCACAGTGCCTGGTACATTTTAGGCACTTCAATGAACGGATGAACAAATTGATTGGACGAACAAATTTTGCTTACTTCTTCACTCATCAAATACACCCTGATTGAGTATCTGCTTTGCACTAAGCACTGTTTTTATTATTCTTAGTCTAATAAGAGAGGTAGACATTAAACAAATAACCACATAAATAGAGGGGGGAAACCGTAATCAATGCCATAAAGGAATAGTATGGGGTACTGTGAAAGTGTACAGCAGGTGCCCTAATTCAGATGGGAGAGTGTCAATGCGGGCCTCCGGAGCTGCAGGATGAAGGGGAAGAGTGGTCCTAGAAGAGGAACTATCCTTGCTGCCTTTCTTTTCTTTTCTTTTTAAAAAAAATTTTATTTATTTATTTTCTGTAGAGACGGGGTTTCTCCATGTTGGTCAGGCTGGTCTCGAACTCCTGACCTCAGGTGATTCGCCATCCTCGGCCTCCCAAAGCGCTAGGATTACAGGCGTGAGCCACCGCACCCGGCCCTCCTTGCTGCCTTTCAGGGACTGAAGGATAGTAGGTGTGCAACTAATGGTCTCATCTTCTCCGTGGTGGCCTGTGCTTCCTAAGATCTGCCAGAGATAGAGGGCATAGGCCAGCTTGATCCTGCCTGTTGGACCCAGCTTTATCTTCAGTCTTTCTATGTCCAGAAATCCTGAGCCTGGCCACTTTTCCTTGAGCCAGAATAATTCAGAGAACTATTAGCCAGAATAATGCAGAGAACTGATCACTGCAAGTCACTCTACCTTGGAGCTATTGGAATGGCTCCAGAACAAGGCACTGGGGCCCAAGGCAGAATTCCAACACGGAGGGTTTTACATAAGACAGACTCCACCTGGGAGGGCTGGGGTGGGAACCAAGCACCAAAGAAGACGGGAGGCCAGGTCCACTGATGGCTGTCTCCCTCTTCTCTGTAGCCCTCCCCAACCCCTAAGCAGCCCAGCCCCAGCAGAGGAGGCCTGGGCACAGGAATGGATTGCTGCTAGAAACCTGGCTTCAGCTGGAGGAAGTCGGAAGGCTGGGCTGATGGCTGCGCAGACAGAGCTGTGTTTATCCAGGAAAAGAGGTAGGACGTAGGCAGCAGAGGCCCCTGCCAGCACCTCCCAGAAGGACTGCGCTGGGGGAGCAAGCTGGAGAGGAAGCTGCTCCCCTCTGGCTCTGAACGTGTCAGGGCCTGAGGCTAGAACCCAGAGGCGACCCACAGGTAAGGCCTGCACTCCGGGCGCGCGACAGAGAGGGTCGCGGGCTCGGATCCCAGGGCAGACGGTCGGAATACGGTGCTCTTGGTGGCCCGGCGCAGGGGTGAGGCGATCGCATGCTGGCCGAGCCTTCCGGAGACTGCTCTGGGGTTGGCGGAGAATCAATGCTGCCTTTGTGCTCAGAGATTTCCTAGGGAGAAAAGGAGTGGAGAGTGGGAGGGGCGACCCAACGGCCCGGCCCCGCCCCGCAGACACGGGATGCGGTAGGGCTGGGAGGCGCGGGAGCTGGAGGGTCGGAGCTACCGGGGGTGGGATTCTGTGCCCCCGGGAGGTGCGTCTCCTTGAACCAGCCCTGGGTGCCCTGAGGTCAGTAGCCAAGTGTGTCCCCTGGCTGCCAGGGGCAGAAGTGAGTCCTCTTCTGGCTTCGAGCGACTCGAGGAGGGGAGGGAGGAGCCAGAGGAGGCAGGTGGGGCTAGGACTGAAGGATGGCTCAGGCCAGAGAAGCTTGCGCCGGGGCAGCCTGGCAAAGGGAGGGAGTCCAGAGGAGCGCCAGACTGGTTCCTGGAGGAAAACCCGTCTTCGAAATGGGCGAGGGAGAAGGGTGTGAGCCCGCCTAGGGCGAGGTGTCCCTTCCAGGGGATTGGGATCTGGGTCCTTTTGATATAACGCGGTTATAATCCTATTTGTCCTAATAGTACCCTAGGGTTCTAGTGGGTGGGTTGGGCCCTCTAAAGTCAGTGGCACATCTTTAGTACCAATGGGAGAATCTGTGTGCTTGGTGACCGAGGCCCGTATCTGAAAATGTGACTGGACCTGGTTCCCTCCATTTCTCCCCATCCTCCCAGGCTTCACCACCCTTTCTTTTTATCCTCAAATAGGGGTCTGTGCTCCCAGTGGGTCCGGAGACAGGGGCGCGGTGGCCGACCGTCCGGTGTACCCCAGCATCATCCACCTCTGACTCCTCTTCGCTCCTCGCTTCGCCCCGCTCCGCCCAGCATTCGCATTTGAGACTTGGGATTGGGATCCTCTAGGCCCTGCGGAATTCGGAATTCCATTACCCAGCCCACCGCATGTGGCTCTTGGAAAAAGCTGGCTATAAGGTGGGGGCCGCGGAACCTGGGGCCCGTTGGGCGCTCTCGGGCCTGTTCTCCAAGCGTCGCGCCCCGGGCCCGCCCACCGGCGCCTGCCCCAACGTCCTCACCCCGGATCGCATCCCGCAGTTCTTCATCCCTCCTCGGCTCCGGGATCCCGGCGGCGCAGAGCCCGCGGCCCGGCGGGACTTGGCCGGGCGCGGCCTCCCCGCGGCCTGCTCGCTGCCTCACCTGGCTGGTCGCGAAGGCTGGGCCTTCCTGCCCGAGAGCCCGCACACGCGCCGGCGCGAGTCCCTGTTCCACGCGCCGCCGCCCGCCCTGGCCGAGGAGCTCCCCGCGCCTCAGTCCCGACTGCACGTCTCCGCCCCGGACCTGCGCCTCTGCTGGGCCCCCGACAGCGACACGGCCTCGTCGCCGGACTCGTCGCCCTTCGGCTCCCCGCGGCCGGGCCTGTGCCGGCGCCAGGTGCCCAGGCCGCACTCGCTGTCCCCAGAACCCGCGAGCTCGGCGGACACCAGCCCGCACCCGCCGCGCCGCGCTGGGCCGCCCACGCCGCCGCTCTTCCACCTGGACTTCCTGTGCTGCCAGCTGCGGCCCACGCGCGAGAGCGTGCTGCGCCTGGGGCCCCGCGGCGGGCAGCTGCGGCTCTCCACCGAGTACCAGGCCGGGCCCGGGCGGCTGCGGCTGCGCCTGGTGAGCGCCGAGGACCTGCCCAGGCCGCGCTCCCGCCCTGGGAGCGGCGGCGGCGGCTGCTGCGTGGTGCTGAGGCTGCGGCCCCGCGTCCGACCGCAGGAGCAGCGGAGCCGCGTGGTCAAGTGCAGCGCCAACCCCATCTTCAACGAGGATTTCTTTTTCGACGGGCTCGGGCCGCCGGACCTGGCCGCCCGCAGTTTGAGGGCCAAGGTGCTAGACAGGGGCGCGGGACTTCGCAGGGATGTGCTGCTGGGGGAATGCGAGACACCCCTCATTGCGCTGCTGCCCCCGCTGGGTGGGGGACTAGGTCCCGGGTCCTCCCTGGCGCCCACCCATCTCAGCCTGTAGACTGAGCCCCTGGCTTCCTCAGCACGTCTCCACTGAGTCTGCGGTCCACACGCTTTCCGCCCTGCCCGGCTTGTATTTATTTTTGCTAATAAAGTGTCCGCTTGTTCCTAGCCAGATCTTTCCCCTTGCTGGCACCTTACACGCTCAGGCGTAGAGCCTACCCTTCTTCCTTCTATCTCGGCCATACGCGGGGGGAAGATGCTCATTCGGACGGTCTGAGTAGAGGAGACCCTAAGCAGTGGTCCTCAAGCTTGAAGGAGCGTCAGAATAATCAGATATCAGAAATCCTGGAAGAGCTTGTTAAATATGCAGGGCCCTGGGCTCCATCCTCAAGAGATGCTCTTTCGGTAGATCTGGGCCAAGTAGGTCCTAAGGTCCCTGTCCAATAGGGGCTCTGGAACAATCAGCCCTTCAGTCACTGAGTCACTATAACAGAAACCAACACAAGCCACCTTCCACTGGGGGTCCCTTGGGGCTGCACAGAGGAAATTAACACTTCCCTCCTGTGCCCCTTTGAAACCCATATCTGTCCTGAAGACAGATGAAATTTCTGGGTCTTGGGAGTGAGTCAGGGGATGTCAGATGAACACACAGTGCCCTTTAGTCTTACGACTTCCCTCTTGCCTCTCCACACCTGTGCCTCCCTTGGTGGGGAGGGGGCACACCTGTGCCTCACTTGGGGGAAGGGGCATGTCTGGAGCCAAGAACCAGAGAGGACCTTAGGTACCAAATGAATGAAGACATTCCCAGATATTGGGAGGAGGGAGGAAGGGTACTACCAAAGTGTGGGAACTGTCCTCAGGAGCTCCAGAGGAGGCTCCTCCAGCCAGAAGGAGGTGGAGGTGGAGGGAGGTGGATAAAAGTAGGTCACATCATGTTTACCTCTACCTGCATGTCCCTAACGTCAGCAGTGACCTTCTCTCTCCCTCCACCTTCCCAGAACCCGGTTCCTCTTGATTCAGACCAGGCTTGGAGAAGGAAGGGAAGAAGGGAGGTAGGCACTAGGCCAACCCAGCTTCTTTCTCTCTCTGCCTTGAGCCCTTTCTCATTTTTCTAGGTGCCAGCTGTGGCCTGCACCAGGGCTACGCTTGCTGGATCCAACAAAACCTCAGCACCTGGACACGTTAAATTGCAGCAACACACACACACACACACACACACACACACCACACACACACACACCACACACACACACACACACACACCACACACACACACACACACACACACACACACACACACACACACACTCTTCTTTCAGACAGCTCTCCAGTTCCTTCTTCCTCCCCTACCCAGCCCTGGGCCAGAGAACTCTTGCTTCAGGTGTCCACCAGGTGGTGGCATTGATCAAACAATCCTAAGCGCTAACTACTGCACGTGGATTATAACTACACGAGGAACTGGTCCAACAATTAGTCAAGCCATTTGTTCCTCCCGGCACCTCCTATAAGGGTATAAATACTATTGTAATCCAACGTGACCTTGGGCCTCACATAGCTAATAAAGAGAAGATCTAAGACTCACAGAGCTGGCTAGTAAGGGAAAGAACTCAGAGAATCTGGCTCCAGTTCTGGGCTCTTAATCACTTCACAATGTGCCAGCTGCTGACTCCCAAGGGGCCTCCTTCCCTAAGATGGTAGTGTGGTACCCTGCCAGTTTAAAATCCTACGTTTGAATTCTGGGAAGTCTACGTGTAGATTTAGGTCTACCCCGATACTGTATTTCTGTTTTAGCCCACAAATACTCCCATAACAACCTTTAGTGAGAAACTGGATTTGATGCCCATTTGAAAGTACCTGGAAAGAAAGTTAGAGGCCATAGAACCTTCATTCATGCATTCCTTCAACAAATACTTCGGGAGGGACCGTGCAGTGGCAGGCATTGGATACAGCAGTGATTGAAACAGACATGGGAATCAGAAAAGTGAATGAACCATTAAAATGTAAAGAATGGCCGGGCGCGGTGGTTCAAGCCTGTAATCCCAGCACTTTGGGAGGCCGAGGCGGGTGGATCATGAGGTCAAGAGATCGAGACCATCCTGGTCAACATGGTGAAACCCCGTCTCTACTAAAACTACAAAAAAAAAATTAGCTGGGCATGGTGGCACATGCCTGTAATCCCAGCTACTCAGGAGGCTGAGGCAGGAGAATTGCCTGAACCCAGGAGGCGGAGGTTGCGGTGGGCCGAGATCGCGCCATTGCACTCCAGCCGGGGAAAAAAAAGAAAAACCCCGTCTCAAAAAAAAAAAAAAAAAAAAAAAATGTAAAGAATGCTACTTGGTGATATGTTACAGAGAAAAATAAAGCAAGAAAGGGAATAGAAAAGAGGGGTCAGATAAAGAGAAAGGAAGATTATAGGGACAGAAAGAGGAATTTTTTTTTTAACCATAGTACTTTGGACCAGGTCCTGAACTTTACCTGTGTTATCTCAGTTCATTGTCATAACCCTTCAGTAGAGTCGATATTATTTATTTTATTTATTTTTTTTTTTTTGGGACGGAGTTTCGCTCTTGTTAC